TCGTTTACATAATATGCCTCCCTGCTATACATCTACATGACTGTATACACGTTATAATCATTATGCTATCGACCTACTGCGATTCCCGGGCTGGTCGACAGGCGGCCCAGCCAGCCTGCTAGTGGGATCTCGGCCTCGCACACAAATCCACACAAAATGTTACTGCACTGAATGCATTCCGCGGATACACTTCGCATATACATGTATACTCATTCTCTTGATGGTACCGTACTCTTGATGGTACGGGACAGGTATGGGATAGCGCCAGGCATGCCGATGGCACAAACAAACAAAAATATTGTGTGGCCAGCTGTATTTGTTGGTACGGTACGGGACAGATACGGGATAGCGCCAGGCGTGACACAAACAAACAAACAAACAAACACCAAATTAAAGCTGTGTGGACCCTGGCTAGCGCCAGACGTTACTGAAGTAACGTCTTCTGCATAGCTACGGGAATAAACGAGCTTTCTGTCAATGGGAGATTGAAGTTAAAGGGGAAGTTAAGGCAAAAATTAAAATTTCACCAGTTGTAGTCTTCGGGGTGCTGAGTCGAATGGTCTTGGTCCGAGAAAGCTGAGACGCTCCCTTCCTACTTGAATCCCAATCGAACTCGCGCACTTCCACCGAAACTGGGTGACTGCGCCCTACGAGATGGGGATTTGTATGCAAAATGTCACTAAAAGCGCCATTTCGTTCTTATAAAAGCACGGATGACCGCGATTGGCCCATATGTTGTAGTCTTTTGGACGCTGAGTCGACTGGTTTTGGTCCGAAAAGGCTGCGATGTAGCGTTCCTCCTTTATTCCCAATCGAACATGGTTGAACAAGCGGTCACGTGCTCCTGCGTACACCAGTCACCTGGTCACCATGCCTGCAGGGTACAACTTACTAGCCTGTTTGACCTTTTTTGGATGCACTCCTGTCACTCGAGTTGAACCTTGGTGTGAAATTTGTCGCCTGCTGGCGTGGTGACCAGGTGATTTGGGCACCCAGGAGCACGTGACCGCTTGTTCAGCCATGTTCGATTGGGAATAAAGGAGGAACGCTGCATCGCAGCCTTTTCGGACCAAAACCAGTCGACTCAGCGTCCAAAAGACTACAACATATGGGCCAATCGCGGTCATCCGTGCTTTTATAAGAACGAAATGGCGCTTTTAGTGACATTTTGCATACAAATCCCCATCTCGTAGGGCGCAGTCACCCAGTTTCGGTGGAAGTGCGCGAGTTCGATTGGGATTCAAGTAGGAAGGGAGCGTCTCAACTTCCTCGGACCAAGACCATTCGACTCAGCACCCCGAAGACTACAACTGGTGAAATTTTAATTTTTGCCTTAACTTCCCCTTTAAGGGGGCTCAACCCCGAAGAGGGAGCAAAAAATATTATGGTAAATCGATCTGAACTGTGTGTTTTCAGATGGCCAGACACCTAGAGAACTGGTCTGGGCTATTTCAAGGATAGGTTTATTATGTGGTTCCCCAGCTATGGGGGTGTTATTGTACCTATGTTTTTCGGCAAAAATTCAATGATTTCTCACTAAAGGCGTAAAATTCCAGTTGGTAATGCTTCAAAAATCCTGAAAGTGGGTATGGAGGGGCCTACAATACTGTCTCCTTTGGAAAATGTCCACAACATATGACCAGACCACTGTGAGAGGCCAAGGTAGCCCAGAATGTGATTTGGCAAAACGCGTATTTCAGCAGACCGATCTTTAGACTTGTTTGAATAGTGGAGAATCGAGACAATAACATGGTCCATTTTATGGTCATTATCTGCTCTTCAAGGCCATAGGAAGGCTCTACAAAAATAGATTTTTATGTCCACCATCTCGTTTCTCCGTGAGAAACAAAATTTGTGACGGATTTTGCATATTCAACTTGAAAGTCAGATTCAGCATTGTTGACAAAATGAGTGTATCGACTTCATTCAAGCTTCACTTTGACTATGTAGGGCGAGAAGCATTTGCTATAGACCAATCCCAGACAATACCCCATGCAACAGTCACAACTGAATTGTGTTATTCACATCTTTGTTGTATATTGTGAGTATGTACATACATTTTCTAGGGTACCCTGTAAGAAGGCCTTAGCCTAGGCCTGTGGGGATTGCCCTATCAAAAATTTGATAATAATAATAATACTATAATGTACATACATACATACATACATGCATGGGTATATCAATGTACAAAACAACGGATTATAAGTATAACGCTTTCAATGAGCAACTTGAGTTGCTTGGTTACTGCTGGATGCGATGGCTAGCAGCCACTGTTGGTATTGTGAGTTCGCGCCTCCAGTGTGCAGCACAACGTGAATGTTTGAGCAGATAACTGCAGCATCATCACGAGTGGTAGAAAGTGGGGACGATGCTGCACCTCCTGCAGCTGCTGGAGTACTTGTGCGGTCTGGAGCAGTGTGTAAAATAGGGGTGTTGGTGTTGGGTCTTCCAGATGCTAGATGATGTGTTATGCGTTTTGCAATAGCAGAACTCGTTGTGACTAGCACACGCCCATCGCCACCCGGTTCGTGCAATAATCCAAGGATGCCAGTTCCCTGATTCCTCTCAAATGCCAACACCAGATGATTGTACCTGTAGGCATGATATATAACGTTGTTGTTGTTGTTGTTGTTGTTGAAGTAGACTTCTACAAACACCCATGGTGCAGCGAAACTCCCACTCCAGCTTGTTTGCTGAGACTGTGACAGAAGCCTGACTAGTGCTGCAATGTGTACTGCTGTGATTCATGATTTCAGTTGACATTCCTTGCCTTGCCTTGCCTGGGTAATATTGCAGTTCTTCACAACATGCATAACACAATTTTATGCTGCATTTACAGTCTAGGTCAAGGCCGAGCTCATGAAAATGTGGCAACTTGACCATGCATAATATTACGTGTCTGTGACTGTCTCTGCTCAAGTTGTTCTACAAGGCATATTGCCAATATTTCAATATTCATTTTTATAATATTATACAGATTCCTGTCATAGTTCAATGATACAAGCACAGCCATACTACCTTGAACCCACAGCCTTCTCCTGAGAAACACAGGCACATGTCAGAACTCACCCAGTGCAGCCTTAGAGTTCATAGGATCCATGCTTTCCACTCCATCCAGCATGAGACTCAGATGTCTGACCAAATTCTCCTGCCCACACATAGAACACTTCACTGGCATGTCCCTATGCTGTTTATATATATACTGGCTGTTCCAGACCACACTCATTACTCACAGAGATCAAGTCCCTACTTGCAGACACTACACTCTGACTCCACTATCTCCAGGTACTGCAGGTACAAGACCAGTTTTTCTCTCACAGTCGTCAGTAACATTTTTATCTGGCGACTGGAAAAGAAAAAATAGATATCGTTCCAAGTGCCACTCAAGTGGATGCACTTGAACTTGAGAGAAGCATGTCACTTACCTGCGTTCTGAGACTGGTACATGTATCACTGGTAGCTGGGCTCTGGACAATCTTGCAGGTTTACTTGTCTTCACTGGCAGGCGAGACTGAGAAAAGGGCATATCTGAGCTGGAAGTTAGAACTACACGACCTGAAGAAGCTTGACCTGAAGAAGATTGAACACGCTTTGTTCCTGAGCGCCCACGAAAACGGCCGTGCCTATTGATAACTACAAGTACTTGACGCGAAACTCCATCGATCGCCGACATCCAGCAAACCAAATGGAAAACACAAAACGTTCAAACTGTTCAAGGACTGCAGTTTCTTTGAATTCTCGCAAAATAAACTTTTGAACACGACTATTTCTCGCAAAAAAACTTTCTCCAGCCGCGGACAAAATGTTTTCAAACGCGAAATTTTGCATAAAATCATGCCCAGATTTCGATGCGCGCGCAGAAGTACTGAGCCCCCTTAAATAAACGAGCTTTGTGTCAATGGGAGATTGACTTGGAGTTTTTACGAGTTGGTTCTAAACATGTAATAATCATCGTCATCTTAAAAGTATTTCACTGTTGATGACGATAATTAAAACACATTCTTCTTTTCAGTCGATGCGCCAGATTTGAAAAATCACGTCGGAACACAGAGTTCTATTTTTCAGATGCACCCTTTTTGGGCACTTTTCTCAAGGCATTCTCAACATACGATCGTTTTCATGTATGTACGTGCTGGCCAGTCTCACGCTTTCTCGGAGTTATTCGTCACACTCGAGGATTCAGTAGTCGCCTTTCACCTTTTTCTGTTATGAGTTCTTCAAGAACGACGAAATTCTGTAGTTTGGTGTCGCTACACGTCGGTTTGTCTCTTTTCCTTTTTTCGTCGAAATTTCGTCGCCCGACCTATAATTTCGTGCCACCGAATTAACCAGGCATTTCGCTGCTTCTATGCTGGACGTATCGAAAGAGTAAGTCTTTGTGACATTGGAGCGGAAGTTATGTTCTGGCCGAAAAAAGGGCATGCCTCTGGTGACGTGATTTCTAACTAGTGTTTTTACGTATATTTTCCATGCATGTGTGCACAGATGTCAGCGGCAGGAAGACCCAGCAATGCCACAACTGGCACAAGCATACATACTTGACGACCATGTGGCCCAGAATGAAGCATTTGCTCCAAAGTGCCATCTGACAAGCGATTTACACATGACTCAATGCTGTCAGATTGGCAAAAGCTACACACATGCACATCCATCACGTCAGGCCAATGCATTTATTGCAAGTGCGTCAAAGCACTACGACGCCAAGTATGCACAGCAGCGAAAGAAAATAAGCCACCAGTCAGCCAAAGCACATGCAGTGTACATGATTGCAGCGGAGCGGCATCCGTACACTGTCCTGCAAACAAACTGCGCGTGCGCAGTCTGAAAGAACAGTGCGAACCGCTTCTGTGCCCAACCCATTACCAGCAGTGTGTGGGCCATGCAACATGTGCTTGGTGTAAGTCGAGACTCACACCAGAACACAGGCGGAAGTCACCAAACTTTCAGCTTGCAGAGCATGTGTTGCGTAGCATGCACCATGTCAGGATTTCAGACGAGAGTCGATTTTGTAGACGCTGCTACCAAAAGCAAATTGACATGCTCCCTGCCGACAATGCACCAAGCACAGACCACCAATTGCGAAGCATCATCTCTCAGTACAGCACGGAAGGTGCCGAGAGTGATTTCCCCAATATTATAGTCATTGCCGCTACAGGACGGGAATTGCTGGACAAGGATGCCATATTGTTGACGACAGTGCACGATTTGTATACAGAGACTTTGCACCCAGCTGCTGACCCCAAGCTAGCGGCATACGTGCTGGGCAAATTGAAGTTGACCCTGGAGCACCACTTGCACGTCATTCCACCTAAGTCGCGGAAGGATGGCACATTGCTGCTACGCAATGGATGTAATGTAATGCTGAGAAGGCACTACATATGATCCTTTCTGCAGAGCGTAAACACAAGATAGAGCAAACACCAACAAAGCTGGAAGACCTCACTCTGCCATGCTCACAGCACAATTGATAGCCAGCAACCGAATAATACATGTACTTCACAAATATGGGAACCCATTTACACCAAGTGCTATTATCGGACAATGCCATTATGCTCCTAGCACGCGGCACAAGAAAATTATAGAGCTTCGCCAGCATTGCCTTGATTTTGTCGTAATGTGATGGTGTGTGCGTGTGTGTGGTGTGTGTGTGTGTGTGTATGTGTGTGTGAACATGGGAACCCATTTACACCAAGTGCTATTATCGGGTGTTTAGAAGAGTATCTCTTTGTCGTTGTTACTATAATCGAGTGGCACATTCGCACTACAATTCTACGAGTGCTAGTTTGAAATACGTTACGAATTTGAGCAATTGTTACGTTGTACAGCAGGTACGAAACAATTAATATTTACATACTCACCGGTTTTCGTTTCGGAGTCCCGCGCTGTGACTCAGCTAATTTCTATTTCGTTTGCCTTGTATTGTCTGACTAGGGGCGCTGTCACCCCGTCGGGTGCAAGCACCCTTGGACAGAAGCACTTCACTTCACGACAAGTGTTCATTTTCGTTTTCCTCTTCTGCTTCTGTTGCACAGTTTGAACTTTGAATGTGTGCTTTTTTTCGTACTCTGCTCTCGATCGAACCATGCGCGGGTCGATCTCCATATCTTCCGTTGCCATGACTGGCATTAGTACGCGTTCTGTACTCACTCGCTGCTTGGCACGCTTGCAGCGCGTCTTTTTTCTGTTGCAACCTAGTGCCTGCGTGCACGGTACGGGATTTGCGATGCCACATCAGCGTTGGTGTGTCGTTGTGCTTCGTTGTTGTTTTGTTTCTTTGGCTGAGTGTGGTCGTTAAAACTGAGCAAGAACGGGTCGTTGACAAGGCGTGGTTTCGATGTGCATGCCCTCCTGTCAACTCCAAACTATCGGGCAATGCCATTATGCTCCTAGCACGCGGCACAAGAAAATTATAGAGCTTCGCCGGCATTGCCTTGATTTTGTCGTAATGTGATGGTGTGTGCGGGTGTGCGTGTGGTGTGTGTGTCACTGTGTGTGTGGTGGTGTGTGTATGTGTGTGTGTGTGTGTGTGTGTGTGTGTGTGTGTGTGTGTGTGTGTGTGTGTGTGTGTGTGTGTGTGTGTACATTACATATTGCCCTATCACAAATATATAAATAAACTCGGATGGTGAGCCAATGTAATCATGGATAAAAAGAATAAGGACAAAATGCGAGTTATGACTAACTGTCCACCATGTACCAATGTCGCTAGATCATATACAGTCGGCGAGCGCGACAAAAAGGCACAAACTGACAGGGAATACTAAGACATTTTATTCCCGTAGCTATGCAGAAGACGTTACTTCAGTAACGTCTGGCGCTAGCCAGGGTCCACACAGCTTTAATTTGGTGTTTGTTTGTTTGTTTGTTTATTTGTTTGTTTGTTTGTTTGTTTGTGTCACGCCTGGCGCTATCCCGTATCTGTCCCGTACTGTACCGTACTAGCAAAGACAGCTGGCCCCGATATTTTTGTTTGTTTGTGCCATCGAAATGCCTGGCGCTATCCCGTACCTGTCCCGTACCATCAAGGGTACGGTACCAACAAGAGAATGAGTATATATGCGAAGTGTATCGGGGGAATGCATTCAGTGCAGTAACATTTTGTGTGGATTTGTGTGCGAGGCCGAGATCCCACTAGCAGGCTGGCTGGGCCGCCTGTCGACCAGCCCGGGAATCGCATGTAGGCCGATAGCATAATAATTATAACGTATATACAGTCATGTAGATGTATAGCAGGGAGTCATAATTATTATGTAAACGACTCCCTGCTGTATGGAAAGAAATACGAAGTAGGGAGACGAGTAAATACAATAAGAAGGGATGTTAGTTGCCGTCAGTATAATAATAATAAGAAGAAGAAGAACGCCCGTGATCGGCAGAGTCAGCGCCGGTCCCAGGAAACGTCAGGACAGACATCCCGTCGACTCCAGAACGCCCGTGATCGGCAGAGTCAGCGCCGGTCCCATAGCTATGCAGAAGACGTTACTTCAGTATCTCATTAAACTGTTTTTGCAATACAATGATGTAGCTAATCAAAGGAAAAAGCATTTCCATCAGTTCCACCAACATGCACGATGAGCTAGGCAACAAAGCATAGCGCAGGGCCCTGAGCTTCCAAGCTCTCTCGTTTATTATTATGTGCTTGTTCGCGTAGACATCAGCATGGCCTGCAGCTGCATTAATGGGCATGCAAATCATGCAAACCAGCCAAAAATGTTCGCATAAGCCACTTCGAATAGATACTACTAAGATATACAACGACCAAATAATATTCAAGTTAATTTCGAAATGTCTATAATTTCGTGCCGTCGGATTAACCAAGCATGCAACGAAAGGAAAGGTATACACGCTTTGACATATATTATTAGGCAATTATCTGCACCAACCTGCATTCCGGCCGAAGCATCATGTCGGGTGTGGTGGGTCGGCATTCCGACGTATCTCCACACACCAGGAAAATCGTGAAGCGAGAATTCCCTCATCTGCAACTGGCAAAGTCTTCACTTGACACTCAAGTTGAAATTTCTAGATACCTAGCTAATAGGAGCAGACTTCAGGACATTTGTCGCACTCGGGAATCGTCAGTTCGATCCGTACAGGGTTGGTTAGACACAAGAAATATAGCAAATTTCATTGACTGACATCTTCATCTTTACCAACACAGTTCACCACATAAACTTTCCCGCGAAAAAAATAAAAAGACCCACTCAGCTGGCTTGGCGCATCGACTGTTTTCATGAAATTGTTTCGCCAGTATTTGTATTGTGTACTTTTTCTCCACCATGGCAAATTGTGTTTTGTTTGCCCGTGAAAGAGGCGTAATCATCAACAGTCCCTGACAGTGTCCTGTACTAAGATTGTAGGCTAACACAACTCAGTGGAAAACAGCTGTGGTCTTCTAAACTCAGTTACTTACTTCAAGCTGGACTTCAATATTGTCCTTCTTTTTTCTCGCGGATCCACTTGACTCCAACCAGCTGTACCTGGTACAGCTTCCTCCGGCTCTCCGATATCCTTCCATAAACAAGCAAAAGTGCAAACACAAAGAAAAAGAAACCATTAAACACACACTGCCAAAAACGCGGGCACGCACGCACGCACACTTCAAGACAGTGGAAATGGCCTCAGCATGCACAGATGTCCAATAGACACCAACCAGTGCAGCGTATCATCCTAGGCCAACAACAAAAGAAAAAGGAAATAATATGTGTTCGGAAATAGCGTCGAACCCCGCAGTGTTGAAAAATACAACACCACGGACCTCCGGAGTTTGGACATCTCAGATAGTCTCAAACAGATCCAGGTTTCCAGCCATGGAACTGGCCATAGAAAAGTATGAAATCATGAGTGATACGCACAGCAATGATGTGCGTATCATATGTACTCGGCCCAACCGTGCGTGCATGGGACCAAATGAAAAAGAAAGCGGGCACTGGGACTGAGCCTCAGTGAAACACGACATGCATGCTGCAGGCACGGAGCCCACCACATTCTTTTTTTTGTCGTCAAGCACCGGTGAGTCATTCTTCTTTTCTTTCTTTTCTTCTTCTTTTTTTCCTTCTTTTTTAATGCAGAATGACTTCCCGCCCGCACAGGGTCATTCTTTTTTCTCTTTCTTTAATCTTTTTTTGTGGAATGACTTACTACCCGGGACCAGCTGAACCCTGCATTATTCTTTTAAAGGGCAGCTGGAAGGACACCCATAATGGTAACAGTACACATTATGAGTGCCTCCAAACCCTCAGTACCTGGTCCTTCCAACTGGATTGTGGAGACAGTTCGCCATTCCAAAGAATACACCAACGCCACACACACCACAGCAAGATCTCTTCCCAGGTACTTGCAAACACCACACAGCATTCCCAAACCCTACCAGCAACCTCAGTGCACTAGCTCACCATGGTACAGCCTCAGCGGCAATACAAAGTGGCAAGAGCGCAAAAGTTATCATCATCGGTTGCATAATTACTTCCATTCTTTTCATCATACAGAGGCAACAGCTTGCAAGCTCATTCCAACTTACCATAATTATTATCATCATTTTCGTCATCATCACCGCGTTCTTCGCCAGCAAAGGAATAACTCGGACGATGGGCTGCCCAAAACAAATCACATTCACCAGACGGGCAGACACACGCAAACATGTGGGTGTGTGTATGTCAGATTTGAGTGAAAAGCTGGGGAACAAAACAATCGTGAAGTATGCAAGTGTGATGAAAAAATTCAAACCGGTAATAAAAGCAGAGGAAAGAGAACAGAAAAATGACTTGTTCCAGCAACAGTCACTGACGAACTGACTGTGAGAAGCATCGTCAGTGTCGTAGGGGGCAGAACCGGCTCAGATGTTGTACTTATAATTGCACCTGCATGCACACAGCACACATGGTACAAGAAAAAAAGTAGGGTGACAAAATCAGTATCCACCGAGACAGGATCCTGTGAACTCTACCTTGTCTATTGTAATTGGAGTGGTCGGCAAAGTTATCTTCTCACAAATAAAACTTGTGGGGAAAAGGAAGAAAAGACAGGTTTTTGACTTGGCAAAGTCAATGTACACCTGCTGGAGGTATCTAAATTCTGACAAAACTCAAGTTGGCATGAAAGTGTATCATCAACGGTGCCTCACAGTGTCCTGTTCTAAGATTGTAGGCCAACACAACTCAGTGGAAAACAGCTGTGGTCTTCTAAACTCAGTTACTTACTTCAAGCTGGACTTCAATACTGTCCTTCTTTTTTCTCGCGGATCCACTTGACTCCAACCAGCTGTAACTGGTGCAGCTTCCTCCGGCTCTCCGATATCCTTCCATAAACAAGCAAAAGTGCAAACACAAAGAAAAAGAACCACTAAACACACACTGGCAAAAACGCGGGCACGCACGCACGCACACTTCAAGACAGTGGAAATGGCCTCAGCATGCACAGATGTCCAATAGACACCAACCAGTGCAGCGTATCATCCTAGGCCAACAACAAAAGAAAAAGGAAATAATATGTGTTCGGAAATAGCGTCGAACCCCGCAGTGTTGAAAAATACAACACCACGGACCTCCGGAGTTTGGACATCTCAGATAGTCTCAAACAGATCCAGGTTTCCAGCCATGGAACTGGCCGTAGAAAAGTATGAAATCATGAGTGATACGCACAGCAATGATGTGCGTATCACATGTACTCGGCCCAACCGTGCGTGCATGGGACCAAATGAAAAAGAAAGCGGGCACTGGGACTGAGCCTCAGTGAAACACGACATGCATGCTGCAGGTACGGAGCCCACCACATTCTTTTTTTTGTCGTCAAGCACCGGTGAGTCATTCTTCTTTTCTTTCTTTTCTTCTTCTTTTTTTCTTCTTTTTTAATGCAGAATGACTTCCCGCCCGCACCGGGTCATTCTTTTTTCTCTTTCTTTAATCTTTTTTTGTGGAATGACTTACTACCCGGGACCAGCTGAACCCTGCATTATTCTTTTAGAGGGCAGCTGGAAGGACACCCATAATGGTACCAGTACACATTATGAGTGCCTCCAAACCCTCAGTACCTGGTCCTTCCAACTGGATTGTGGAGACATTCCGCCATTCCAAAGAACAAGAAACGCAACACACACCACAGCAAGATCTCTTCCCAGGTACTTGCAAACACCACACAGCATCCCCAAACCCCACCAGCAACCTCAGTGCACTAGCTTACCATTGTACAGCCTCAACGGCAATACAAAGTGGCAAGAGAGCAAAAGTTATCATCATCGGTTGCATAATTACTTCCATTATTTTCATCATACAGAGGTAACTGCTTGAAGCTCATTCCAACTTACCATATTATCATCATTTTCGTCATCATCACCGCGTTCTTCGCCAGCAAAGGAATGACTCGGACGATGGGCTGCCCAAAACAAATAACATTCCACAGACGGGCAGACACACGCATACATGTGGGTGTGTGTATGTCAGATTTGAGTGAAAAGCTGGGGAACAAAACAATCGTGAAGTATGCAAGTGTGATGAAAAAGGTCAAACCGGTAATAAAAGCAGAGGAAAGAGAACAGAAAAATGACTTGTTCCAGCAACAGTCACTGACGAACTGACTGTGAGAAGCATCGTCAGTGTCGTAGGGGGCAGAACCGGCACAGATGGTGTACTTATAATTGCACCTGCATGCACACAGCACACATGGTACAAGATAAAAAGTAGGGTGACAAAATCAGTATCCACCGAGACAGAATCCTGCGAACTCTACCTTGTCTATTGTAATTGGAGTGGTCGGCAAAGTTATCTTCTCACAAATAAACCTAGTGGGGAAAGGTAGAAAAGACAGGTTTTTGACTTGGCAAAGTCAATGCACACCTGCTGGAGGTGTCTAAAATCTGACAAAACTCAAGTTGGCATGAAAGTGTGTCATCAACAGTGCCTGACAGTGTCCTGTTCTAAGATTGTAGGCCAACACAACTCAGTGGAAAACAGCTGTGGTCTTCTAAACTCAGTTACTTACTTCAAGCTGGACTTCAATATTGTCCTTCTTTTTTCTCGCGGATCCACTTGACTCCAACCAGCTGTAGCTGGTGCAGCTTCCTCCGGCTCTCCGATATCCTTCCATAAACAAGCAAAAGTGCAAACACAAAGAAAAAGAACCACTAAACACACACTGGCAAAAACGCGGGCACGCACGCACGCACACTTCAAGACAGTGGAAATGGCCTCAGCATGCACAGATGTCCAAAAGACACCAACCAGTGCAGTGTATCATCCTAGGCCAACAACAAAAGAAAAAGGAAATAATATGTGTTCGGAAATAGCGTCGAACCCCGCAGTGTTGAAAAATACAACACCACGGACCTCCGGAGTTTGGACATCTCAGATAGTCTCAAACAGATCCAGGTTTCCAGCCATGGAACTGGCCATAGAAAAGTATGAAATCATGAGTGATACGCACAGCAATGATGTGCGTATCATATGTACTCGGCCCAACCGTGCGTGCATGGGACCAAATGAAAAAGAAAGCGGGCACTGGGACTGAGCCTCAGTGAAACACGACATGCATGCTGCAGGCACGGAGCCCACCACATTCTTTTTTTGTCGTCAAGCACCGGTGAGTCATTCTTCTTTTCTTTCTTTTCTTCTTCTTTTTTTCCTTTTTTTTAACGCAGAATGACTTCCCGCCCGCACAGGGTCATTCTTTTTTCTCTTTCTTTAATCTTTTTTGTGGAATGACTTACTACCCGGGCCCAGCTGAACCCTGCATTATTCTTTTAAAGGGCAGCTGGAAGGACACCCATAATGGTACCAGTACACATTATGAGTGCCTCCAAACCCTCAGTACCTGGTCCTTCCAACTGGAGTGTGGAGACATTCCGCCATTCCAAAGAACAAGAAACGCAACACATACCACAGCAAGATCTCTTCCCAGGTACTTGCAAACACCACACAGCATCCCCAAACCCCACCAGCAACCTCAGTGCACTAGCTCACCATGGTACAGCCTCAGCGGCAATACAAAGTGGCAAGAGCGCAAAAGTTATCATCATCGGTTGCATAATTACTTCCATTCTTTTCATCATACAGAGGCAACAGCTTGCAAGCTCATTCCAACTTACCATAATTATTATCATCATTTTCGTCATCATCACCGCGTTCTTCGCCAGCAAAGGAATAACTCGGACGATGGGCTGCCCAAAACAAATCACATTCACCAGACGGGCAGACACACGCAAACATGTGGGTGTGTGTATGTCAGATTTGAGTGAAAAGCTGGGGAACAAAACAATCGTGAAGTATGCAAGTGTGATGAAAAAATTCAAACCGGTAATAAAAGCAGAGGAAAGAGAACAGAA